AGGTGTCTATTTACTTGTGACCACTCAGTGTATCACGAAAAAGTATCACATTGCCACATCTTCATTATAATTGTAACATTATTCCTTTTTTTAATTTTCAAAGCTTCCTACAGATAAATTGCCACCTAGTGAATAAAGCATATTTCAGTATAATCAGCAACACACTCAGCCTTCCAACTTTATATTAATCAATTGCATTTATTATATGGCTGACGAAGGAGGAGAAAAAAGAAACAAGAAAAATAAAGTTTAGTAAATTACCTTTAAAACAACAACTAACTCTTTTGAAAAATGAACCCGTTGAAACTATTGGTCCTATTACCATACACACACGAAAAAAAAACAACTTTGGGCCCATGGGTGATTAATAAGAATGGTGGTTAAATTTCACTGTTTGGTCAGACAGCAGTAGCTTAAGAATTGTCAGTGGATTCTGTTGAGTACCTACCTTCTCTGTAGTCTGTTAGTTCAAAAGTAGGACAGCTAATGCAGATAGTTCTTTAGTATATGTGCTTTAACACAAAACTACAAACGAACAAAGAAATTCATCTTATTTTTTTAATATGAGTTACCTCTATATCTATATTATCTTAGGAAGCTAAGACATAGGGGTCCTTGCCTCATTTACAGTGCATAAGGGAAGGGCATTTCTATAAGTATAAAAAGCATTAATGTAATCAAAAACTGGTTATAAGTACTTAAAATCATAAATACATCATCTTAAGTCACAATTAACATTACAGTTTTGTTCCTGTTTCTAAGATCCCAAGTTTCAGTCCTTTTTTATTAGGATTACACAATCAAAGGTAGTGGCAGATTATAATCAAAATGTTAGTTAGTTACAAGTTAGACTAGTTTGAAGATTATTAAATACAGAGTAATTATATGCCAGCCACTAATTAATTTTAACCACATTCACACATTGTTGTTCCATTATTAAGAAAACTGAAACATTGTTTATATGACAAATAAGGTCCTTGTCAATCATACAACTATCACAATGTTAAAGGCTAGTATGTCTAGTATGCATAACTTTTGACTGAACAGAATTAATAGCTGGTTTTATGTTTGACAGATAATTTTAAAATGCTTATAATACTTGTTTTGTTTTTTTATTTGTTACTAAATTTCAGAACTTGTCATATCTTAAAGTTTAACTGTAATGAGAAAAACTCAATTAAAAGGATCAAACCTAGATTTGACCATGGTGTATACTTTTAGTTAGTACTTTTTACCATGTTGCATAAAAAGAACCATAAAAATATCTCATTATATATTAATGATGTTAATATACCTGCAATTTTGAAATTTAAATCAAAAGTCATAATATTGTTGCGTCATCGAGATCACGTGACTATTCTCACGCCCTCTTGTTTCTAGAACTATCCCGTATCTTGGCGAATGCTCTAGTATTTACTAGATAGGGTAGGCTGGTATATAAAAGAGGGGAAGGTAATATGTGGATTAGATAGTGAGTAATTGAACTGCAGTCACAGGGTATTGTTGAAGTTAACGTTCGTTCGTTATAGTGTTTGTTTTAGCGCGAATATTGAAATAAGTGTATCGGTAAAGTTATATTCGGAAAGAATAAATCAGTTTTATTAAGTAAAGACTTGTGTCGTTAAAATTTCGTCGGAACAAAGTTACGGAAAAATCAATTAACAAACGGAGACGTAACAATATAATAGTACATCATAAACACTAAGGTATTAACTATGATCATTTGTTCAAATAAGTTACACCTTAAATGATCATATATACCCTACTATAAAATGGAATTTAAAAATACTTGTTTTATTCTTGTTTTCTTACAGATCAAGCCATATCTATATGAGGTTGTCTATGTTCCCATAGTTGCTACGAGGAAAGGAGACATTGAAGTCACAATCACAGGAAAAACACAAGTTGCGAAGGATGAAGTGATCACACCTATCACTATTTTGGTAAGAGACCATCTTCACTGACTGTAATAACATTTATATATTTATCAAAATTATTTACAGGATAGGATTTATTGTCAGTGAAAATCATTGACTGATGAAAAATAATTTCTTTTAATATCTAAATTGTTTTATATTCTTTTAGAGGATTTATTGCTAAACTGTATTATTTTTGACTGAAACTGAGTTTTTATCAAAGTTGTCAAAATTTAAATTGTTAAAGAATAACGAGATCTTGAAAACTATTTTAACATAACATAATATTTTGGGACAACATGAGACCTATTGGTCCATCTCGGGTGTTCCATCCTCAAAACTAAATTTAAATGATTAAAAAAAATAATAATAATAAAATTAAACCCATTCCTTTTCATTCATATACTTATCAAGTTTTTTCTTATATTACTTAAATTTACTGCCTCTACAACATCTGAAGACAACCCATTCCAAAGACCAACCACTCTGTTAGAAAAATAACTGTCTTAGCTGAAGATAATTCCTACCTTGCCAAAATATATATTTGTGGCCCCTAGTCCTACAATTCTAATTGTTAAATATAAAAAAGATGATGCATCAACACTATCAATTCCCTTTACAATCTTAAACACCTCAATCACTATCCCCCCCCTAACTCTTCTTTTTTTCAAGAGAAAACAATTTGAAAGATTTCAGCCTCTCATCATATGACAATCCTTCCATCCCAGTCACAATTTTAGTAACCCTTCTATGAACACTTTCCAACAATTCAATGTCCTTCCTAAAGTAAGGAGCCCAAGACTGAACACAATATTCTAAACGTGGCCTAACCAGTGACCTGTGCAATGAAAGTATAACATCTTCAGACTTGTATTCAATATTTTTATAGATACAACCTAAAATCCTACTTGCCCTACCATTAGCAACAGCACACTGCTTGGATGGCTTTAGAGACTGATTGACTGTTACAACAAGATCCCTTCCCATCATAACACTATTAAGGTTATACCCATCCAAATTGTACTTATAATTCAAATTATGATAACCCACATGCATTATCTTGCATTTATTATAATTAAAACCCATCTGTCATTTATTTGCCCAACTCACTCAATGATCTAAGTCCTTTTGTAATCCAGCAGCATCCTCTTCACAGCTAGCAACACCCAAGATCTTAATATCATCTCCAAATTTAAGTAATTTATTGACTATTCCTTCATCTTAGCCCTGAGGTACCCCATTTGTGACATTAATCCAGTTTGACTGAACTCCATTTGTAACAAACCTGTGCTTTCTTCCATCCAGCCACTCTTCTATCCAATTTGCTAACTTATCCCCCACATCTATAGAGCTGATTTTTCTTTTACAAGCCTTTTATGTGGTACCTTATAAAATGATTTCTGAAAATCCAGATACACCAAATCTACACCCTTACCATCATCTACATAAGCCATAACC